ATAATAATTCTTTATAATAAAAGGAAGTTATTTCCTATCGACATTTCTCCCAGTTTTTCTAGAATCAGCACTGCAAAATATGCATATTTATAAATTAAAATGATGATCTAGTTGTGAAGATTTGTTGATTCTTACAGACGAATAACATATCTTTGCTCATCCTGCTCTTACACGCTCGTTGCATTTTCCTCGTCAGCTGAGTAACGGATTGTACACAAATACCAGTAATAGGCATAGCCAGATCCGATCTCATGTGTGTAGACGCTCGTCCGTCTTCGACGTGCAACGACATTGAATCTACCTTGAATTCGCGTTCGAACGTAGACGGACTGGTCCGTCTGTTTTCTATAGAAGTAGGTTAATCACGGTCATCGAGCTGCGACTTACAGTGATTTTTCCGTTCTCCGATTCAATCTATTTTCGTGTGATCGTTTTCATTGGATGGCATAAATCCACGAGATGACTATTCGCGAATCATTATCTTTCATACACGGAAAGAAGAATTTCGTTGAAATATCTAAAAATTTAATTAGATACAAATTTAATTTTGTTGAAGCATCAAAATAATTATGTAAAACACTCTCAAACTAGTTGCTAAAATATCAAAATTTTTTACGGCGTCTCTCATGTTAAGCATTCTGCATGGTAAAGACATTTTCAGATTATATAATATATGTATCTAAAGTTTTAGATACTTCTGTAAAACTGTTCTTTCGGTATAGTTTATTGCTCAATTAAAATTCTTGCAATACGACAACTTCTTCTTATAAACCCAATTTTATGGTCATTTCTACAGCTACAACAACCGTTAAATCGTTTTTCGACGACTAGATATTCTTTCTTGCAATCACGCAAGACTTTCGTATTCGAGTGACATTTGGCCACGTTCAGATGAAGTACTTTTCTACAATGAGCTATACCACAAATAAAAGTCTTCGCGTAGGCGTACACTTACGCACGCACGCACATACACACACGCTTACGCATTCCTATATGATTATGAGTAAATAATCCGCCAGGTACATAAAGGCACCGTCAACTTTCTTTCATGCTGATAACTAACTAATGTGTCACTTTTGCCAGCATACATTTTTCTACGCGAAGGGTGACCAAGCGTTCAGAACTTTTTGGGCAAACGAGCCTGACCAACTGACCCGGTAAAGCAAGCACTGGGACCGCAAACAATTTTACAGTTGATTTTCACTAACCATGAAACGCCCGTCGACAAGTCAGCAAAAGAAAATAAACAGTCGCTAAAAAAACTATGACGCTTTAATGATCCGTTCGTGACAGTTAGAGTATATACAAACTACATCAGTCTGTCTGTTGTATGTCACTGTCATTTTTGCTATTAATTATTTGGCATATTAAGCAATTTGCCTATTAAGATAAAACGTAAATCTCAATTGGACGTTTCGTGGCGGACATCTTCTATTTTATATCATACAATCTCTCTATCTCTTTCCTCTCGTCTAGACTTGATGTAGCGTTATTTCAACAACGTAAAATCTCGTGGTCATCACATTAAGTAATCTGTTACTTTCTTTGGCACGGTGTACACACAGAGTATACCGGAATACCGTTTATGAATTTTCCATGTTTATATTGAGAATACGCCAAGCATCTCGGATCATGATCGTTTAATTATATATTTAAGTTGGAACCTGGAATGCTTACGGCAATTTCATTAGGTCGAAGACCTCAGAAAAAAAGAAAAAGAAAAGTTAGAGGCAGACAGAGAGAGAGAGAGAGAGAGAGAGAGAGAGAGAGAGAGAGAGAGAGAGGAGGAACGGGCTGTTATATTAGGCTATGAATGTCTAGTTTCCACCGAGAGTTCGAACCGGGTCAGAATGCAAGAATCAACCAACAGTCGAGTATTCCCCTGTTACAATCGAATAATAATTTGATTAATTTAAATTGCTACTACAGTGCACGTTGTGCCTTTTATTTTTTATGTATTATTTTTTATGTATTCTTTACAGTCTTGATCTCAACAATTATCCATTTTTTGAAAAATGGTTTTATCAAAAAAAGATTTTTTCAAAAAGTGATTTGTTTAAACTTTTGTTTACTTTATTTGCTTATAACTTTTTTTATTATAATAAAGATACATTTACTCAATATCGTTGCATTTTTTAGTGCCTGATGTTTAATTGAAAAAAAATTTGTTACAGATAAATACTAATTAAAAATAATAACATCTTGATGTTACAATTTTATATTATAACAATGTAAATGTAATATAATACATATGTTGCATAATAGTTATATTCTTGAATATAAAATTTCAAATTATAAACATTGATAATAAACAATAAAATTGATATCATTAGGTTGATATTTATTGTGAATATGTCCATTATTGAAAATTATAAAGCTGGTTCGCATCGTCTTGAATTAACATAATATATCTACTTGAAACTAATATTTTCTGAGAAACATAGGTCCATGAACTAGAAGAAAACATTCTGCTGATTTTTTTCACATACATCGTAAACGTATCCTTGATATGTATATATGAGCTTTTACCTAATTTTGGAATTTATTTTGACATAAGCATGCACTTTCGGTTTATTTGATTGTTTAGTTTATGTTTTTAATACTTTTTCTTACACTTTGATTTATATCTTAATATTAATTTTTGTTATCACGCTTTTTGTCTGTAATTAAACATATTCGATTTGTAATCGAAACGTTATGTTTTTATTTATTACGATTAATAAATAATTTATGAGAATTACATATTAATATCTGCGTTGGCTCAATCTGCTTTTTTTTCCATTTAATTTTGATTCAATTTTTCTCAACAAATTATAGTTTAGTAAATTATTATGATAAATTATCTATTCTTGATTCCCCTAAAAGAAAAGAACTGAAGGAATTTGCACACCGTGAATTTGCGATTAATTAAAATACAATTAAGTTTTATATATATTATATTTCTTCGCTTCGCAGAAACAGAAACTAATTGGTCGCCGATAACAACTCCGGGTGACTGAATAATGATTCAGTTGCCTACCGAAAAATTACCGGAAACTCAAAAGTTCTCAACCAAACCGGTTATGGAATCCCCAGTCATTGACTTCTGATAAGACATTAATTGTAGTCTTTGTGAGCCACTTTACGAATTTGCGAATTTGCTCGCGATGGAAGAATTTTCAAGAATTGGCAAACGCAATCATGCAAATGAGCAACTGGAGTAACAACTTGGAAGGAATATCTTCTAACAAGTCTAAATAACAAGAAATCAACTAGAAGTTTTTAGTTTTAGTATTGCGACAACACTGAATTTCAGAATTTCCTTCTGTTGAAACTCTTGCAACATATTCGATTGTATATAAATACAATGCAATTTCTATTTTATATATATTTTATATAAATAAATAAGTTATATCACTTTTTATTTCATGCGAGATGTAACAATGCTTCATTAATTAATTTTCTATTATACTTCTCGAATTTTCAGCCAAACCGATAACAGAATAGTATCATCCTCAACATCAAAAGAAAATTAATGGTGACAACTTTGCTGTCAACGATTGCCAATGTTACCAACAACATGGAACTTCCGGTACCAATGGAGACTCAATATGTCATATTATAAACAAGGTTAATACTTGAATGGATTACAATATGATGTTGCGACTTGCGCTTCATTTCTTTTATTCATGCACGAGCGGGTGCATGAATAAAAGAAATTAGATCGTTCCCAGACTGGGTGATCGGAACGAATTGTTACTCGACTAGAACTAGTCTCAGGATTAAAAACAAAATGACGGAAGAAATGCTGAACTGGATTTGGGTCACTATCGAAATTTATATTATTCCATTCACAATTTTGTCCCCAATTAAATCCCGAAGATGATCCAACTTCTGATTGTATAACAATGCTTTCATCTTTTCTTTCTTTGTGGATTACTGCAAGTTTAATATTAATTAAACTTCTCGTTTGACAAGACAGACGTCTCTAGTAATTCTAACACAGATTCACTCACATCTGTACATTTTATGTGTAAAAAAACAATTCTAAGTATAGAACAAGATTTATGTCGGTAAGAATTTTCTGACTATTTGGTTCGTCATTTTGATATGTCTTTTAATTTTCAGATATCCTAAATCAGATATCCTTGCATCGAAAGAACGATTCTGTGAAGTCTGTGAAAAATTAGCCAAATATAAATTTGAAAATAACTTTATTAGAACATCAAAATAATTATGTAGAAAATTCAAGTATCATGAGCAATGCTGTAAAAAGTTTTGATATTCATAACAATCAGCTCGAACGTCCCACATTATTTTAACAATGCAACAAAATTATTTTCAGGTCTGCATTTAATTAAATTTTTAAATACTTCAAAAAAATCGTTCTTTCCTTGTAAATTTTCAAAATTTTTCTTTCTCATTATATTTTATCTAAATTAATTTTTAATACTATCACATAATGTTTATTGTAGGTTTATTTAAACAGTTAAAAAAAGTATTGTTTACAATTACTTACAATATAAGAAACGCATTAATTTATGGATTATCAATAACTTGATTGACCACTTTGTATGCCATTATATAAGTGACCATCATCTAAGTTGCAATAGCACAACTTAATTTAAATAATGATAATATAGTCATAATTTTTAACGTCAATAATTTCCCATAATCAATGATGAGATGCGCGCCTGAGTATCGTAAGTACGTAGATAATATTGATAGAAAAATTCTAATTCCGTCTACAATGTGAGCGACACATCCGCGCAATGGTAACGATTCATTCAGTCGAACAAATGCAGCGCATTCGTTCTTCAACATGATTGTCCAATTGAGACTGATGCGATTTAACTCGACATTGAGTGCTTTCCATTTGATGACACACAAATCGACACAAGTCGCCACAAGCATCGCTTTATCTTTCTTGATATTCAGAAAATAACAAGATAGAACGACACTTATATTGACTTGTGACGATTTGTATTATCAAATAGAAAACATCCATTGTTTGTTCTTACAGTGTGCGGACGAAGAATGTTTATCTGAAGCCCAAGACTGTCGGCAGTGAGCAAAGTTCCTTTGAAAAATGACAGGTGAACTTGAGGAAGCGCACATACAAAACAATTAGAATTAGTTTCTTTACACATTTCATAATTTCTTTGGAATCGCACTTCAAAGAGTGAAAATTGAGTCAGTCTTGAAAAAGCGTGTCTCAATTTTCAATCTTTAAGAGTGAGATTTTACTCTTCATAGTCAGACTCACTCTAGAAATTTTAAAGAGCAGATATATAACTGCGTAACATTTTGCTATGTTATGTTATTTATAGATTTTACTTTAACATTAATGCATTAACGTAAATCACAAATCTGATAATTTGAAAAAAATGGTATTAAGTCCGTAATTTCAAGAAATCAACTAAAAAAGAAATTCAATAAAATTTGACCTTTTTGAGATCATTACAAATTAAAATTCAATCTATCGTCTGTCGTACGATGACAATTGCAATAATAGATTATTTTAAATATTATGCAGAAAAAGATGTAATCATGATAATGACTTTTTCACGTCAACAACACTTATTTTATTACATACTAAAGATAATGCGTAGATCGATCGACCCACAACGCGACGTACGATTGATTTTCTCATGTGATAGATTTCCTTGCAGATTAAGTCAATGGCAATTGCCATCGCAGACATATAAACAAAATTGCGGCGCAGCATTGTTGAACGAGAACTGAGCTGTTACCGCGGCGCACTGCGTCGCAAGGTAAGTGTTTGCCATGGCTACGACATAATCAAGTTTACTCTCACTCGCACGATCATCTCATCATGCTATCCACAGCGTTCTTTAATGTTGCACATAAAGTTTCCTCGCGATAGCACTCGCTTATAACGTCTTCGCGCAATGAAAAGAAATTGTCTCGGCTTGTATAAACATTTTCTCATCTGATATATTTGAGAAGGGCGAGGATTATATGTATTGTCATCCTAAAGTAGAACATCATCAAAAATGTTCTTTTAAAGAGAACCAGAATTCCGTAATATTTTTCTGGATTTTATTATTCACGGCGTCTGATCTTTTTTCACAATTTTTGTCTTCACATTGTCATCGCGTTTCAATCTCTTTTTAGAATCCTTTTTAATTTTTCAACGCTGAATGAATTTCTTTTCTTATAGCAAGACATTATTATTTAAGCTGCAACAGAAGATTGCAAACAGCGTTTTGTTTCCAGATGGAATTTTCCAGCAAGTGAAGGCATTGATATATATTTTGCAGCGTAGCATCTAGCTATTATTAAGAATCGGCGAGTACGATTTGGCGAATGAAGATGAGAATGAATGAAGATATGAATATCAGAGAGAAGAATGCAAATTGTGGCGAGCCATCCATAATTCGACGCGCGTACTTTCGAGTACGATCTCTGTTACAATTCTATGAATCTGTTCTGCCATTCCAACCAAATGTTTTGCCGATCTGCCTGTCCAATGATGATGAAACCTATGTTGGTCATACTGCTTATGTTACTGGCTGGGGCAGACTTTACGACAGTATTAAAATGCATAATTAATTAAGTGAATCAACAATACAACTTGGAATTTATATCCTCATATTACCCTCCGTCTGTAATCATATTTTACTGTTCTCGACTTTCAAAATATATAGAAAAATTCAAGCTTATTTTTTAATATTTCTATTATATTATCAAATAATTTTTTAATAAGATATTTTAAGAAGAGAAATTAGACTCAGAGTGTTAATATTTGATACATATTAATTAGTAAAAAAAAATTGACTATCTTAGATGAAATACTTTTATTAAACAAGATAAATTATTGTAACTCATCACGCAGATGCCTAAAAATATAATTATCTACTTTTGCAGAGGGACCAGTGCTGTCCGTACTACTAGGAAGTTGCAGTACTGGTTATCAATAATACTGTATGTGAAGTGATGTACAAAAACACGGGTTATATTGAGCACATTCGACATATACATTATCTGCGCTGGTTGGAGGAACGGCGAATTCGACTTTTGCGAGGTCAGTTTTTATTGATGATTTTAAACAAAAGAAAAAAGTCGTCATTCGTACCATTTCAATTTTTGCGAAATTGAAAATTAAACAATAAAAAAATATTATCCGTATAATTTACATCTTTCGATAATACATATAATTCTGATAATCATGTATGTCGTAGTAAAAATATTTTTAAAAATCTTTAGAAAATTAAAATATCTATCTAGATAAGTTTCATGCCTTTCGAACATTATAATTGCTTAGAAATGAAATTAGTGATATAAAAATTTATAGCAATAATATTCTATAACATTTTTATATCAATAATAAGTTTTTAAATAATAAGTTTTTAAATAATTATATATGTTCCTTACAACAATTTAATAATAAATACTAAAGTAGTTATTAATTATTTTTAGTATTAAAAGAACTACTGTACAGTAATTTTCGGTATTAAATTGGTTTTCTGTGAGAATTCAAAAATTGTGTATAAGAATTATATGAAAGTTTTTGATAAGATGTTTCAATCTTATAAATATATTTTTTAATATTTTTATTATGATTTAATAATGTATGAGATGTACACGTATTATCAAAAGATAGATTTCTTAATATTCTAACTTTTACTTTTTTAGGATGATAGCGGCGATCCGATCCAAAAAGAGCGAGACAAGCAATGGATCCTTGAAATTGTTAGGAAAAAGTTGCGCTGTGCATATTTGACCCGGCGTTTACACGTATCTCGGAATTTCGCGATTGGATCAATCAGCTCCTGCGGTTCTGAACGTCTCGGAAAGCGTGATCCGCGCTTGAAATTCGCGCATTTGCATCGCGCCGACTCCTACGGATGTTTGTCAATCGCCAAGCGGACGAATGGCACCATCTGTCGGAAATGTGAGCCAAGTGCAATTTATAGGAAAAATCTAAGAGATTCCAGGGATTCAGAGAGATTTGTGTGCGTGTTGCAAACTTGGACGACATGTGGAGCCACTGATCAATTTTCCTGTAAAGCTGTAACATATGCATGTACACGCGATTTCCCGGGAAAATACGTTACGACACAAAGAGTACAATCGATTTGCGTATCAAAGATATTGAATTTAGTAATAAGAACACCAGAATTTGTGACAAAGATCAAAATTTTTTCCGAAGAAATTAATATTGTACAGTATCTATAGATATCTAAAAGGACAATTTATTTTAAAAAAGGAGTCCAAGTTGGACTCCTTTATCTAGAATCGATTTAAAATAGTTAATTCCACGATATGGAATTACTTTTTTAAAATAAATTGTTCTTTTAGATATCTATAGATGCTGTACAACATTAATTTCTTAAGTTTTCTCCTTCTACTAACCATGTATTCTAATGTGTTCAGTTTGCAAAGATTGATTTAAATAAAGCTTACAAAAATTCACGTGATTGGTAATTAATAAATTTACAAAAGAAATATTGACTCCGTTATTAATTTAATAATAGAAAATAATTTTTTTATTGAACTCTTCCATTAATATATAACTTAATCATTTCCGGGAATAATTTTCCTCTCTTTAATTTGAAATAAATTCAATTAAAGTAATGTGATCTAAAGTAATATTTAATTCAATATATAAAAATTATTTCTAGGCAATTTGACTTTCAGCTTTTATTACTGTTAAATATTTAGAATTACTGTTAAATATTTAGAAAAATATTTGCAATTTAATGTTTCGCATATCTTCTGATTTACATTGAAAGCGATTAATCGTGAAGCTACTGTGATTCAGAATTTACATGTTTTCTAAATATTTGCATATAAAAATATAGTAGAATAAGCTTTTGAAACACAGTGTGCGCAAAAATTGTTTATTTAAATGTTGTTACGCGGCATAACATTTTATCATCAACAAATATTTTAGCGAAAATACAATCAATGAATATAATTTATAAAAACCCATATTTTTTATGAGTTTTCCAATTTTTGCTTATCAGTGAATAAACTATTAACTTTTTCATCAACTCTCTGAATATTTTTTAGATACAAAAATGACAAGATTTACATAGTCCATTCGTATACACAATATTTTATATAAATTTTTATTTACCTAAAAACTCAAATATATGTATAACCGGGTAAATAAATATTTCAAAATCGCTAATTGAAAAAAAGACTGATTTTTAATTTTTCTGTGAAATTCTTATATTTTATTATTTTATCAGTGATAAGCATATTAGACTTTGTAATAAAAGATCAAAATTTTCGATTAATTTTGATTCCTTTATCTAGAATTGATTTGAAATAGTTATTAAAATAAAATTATTAAAAAAAAATAAATTATTTCTTTAATCTTTAATTGCGACGATTCCACGTTATTTTATTTAACGATGTATTTTCGCGCGACAAATTAAAGATTAAATATTTATAGAATAATTGGATAAAACGAATAATCAGTATGCGGAACGTGTTATCAATTGTTTATGAAAAGATTCGTTATCAATATCCGCAATAATCGAATTGCAATTGTAGTGTTGTAATTTAATATTCCACACCGACGTCAATCATATACAATTTCCCTCGTTATAAATTTACATAGTAATTTCCAGGGAATACCAATGGGAATTTCAGTGCATTCTTCAAAGCTCATGAATATCCAGTTATCCCGATTGATCTTGGGAAGGAACGAAGGGAAATTCTGCGCCTGGCTTCATAAATTCTATCTGTTTCTCTTCCTTTCTTTGCAGATACTTCACGTAGTTACTTTGTAGTTACTTGAATATAGTTTCAAATGAATTGATGGTGTGCTAAAACCGTGTTCATTAATTTCAATGGCTGATTTGTCAGCCAACAAGCAACTCATTTATACATACATTTTAAACTAAAGAATATATTTCATGTAAATTCAATCGAATTAAATTCAATCGAATTGAAAAAATCAAAAAGACAAATTCATTTATAATATCGCGGAGATATATGTACCGAAATATTATTTAATTTAATTAATAAAAAAATTTATATCTATAGAAGTATAGATTATATTATATTGTATATATGTATATGTGTAACAATGACGTAGGCGCGCGTATGCATATTTATTATAATTTAATCGCGCATGTATGTTTTAGATGATTTATGAAGAGATATTCTGTATCCTGTTTTTGAACGACATTTGCCTCAGTTATTCAAAGAAACACTTCGCACGATTGCATTGATAATGTAATACAGTTGTATATCTGATTACTCGAAAAAAATGTCGATTTGCATTCTCATTCTCGCGCGGATATTTTTTGCTAATTAAAACCATCGACAAATGTCGCAGCTTACGATAATATAATCGGAATAATGCGATTCCATTGTACATGCAAATATTTGGTATTGATCAGATTGTGGTGCGATACGTGCGGCAAATTCTCATACCTACCCGCTTTTCATCTCACATCCACCTTTATACTTATGAGATGATTAAAAAGCGACCGTTCGCAAACGCTATGCCAAACTGTGTCAATTATACCCCTACCATTAATCCCCTTTTTTCTTTTTCCTTTGCTGTGTTTGTGTCGCGTGCATTATATCCCCTCTTGCGTCATTGCCAGTGCATCCCTGTCGCTGCATAGCGAACAATGGTGGGCGTTTGATATTTGCACGCTAAGAGAAGTTCGTGATTTCAAATATCGCCCACGCGTCACAGACGCCCACCTCTCTCGTTTGGCCAGCACGAACAGGGACAGACGAAGGGTGAAATTTTGCAAAATTGAGTTCGCTGCTTTAATGAACGTACTCAATAAACTCCTAACGAGGTGAAATCGCAATTCATCGTCAATGTTCGGCGTGGAACTTTAACATTGTTAAAATTTATATTACGAAAATAATAGGTATTCATTTATTCTCCCTCACATTGAGTGACACTTTTTGTTATTGGGTTCCTATAAAGCTTATTGAAACATGTATATGTTTCAATAAACAACTTGAAATTTTTAAATCGAAGAATAAGAACAATCAGAAACATCAAAGCCAGAAGTAAAATTTACAATTGAGATGAATTAAATTTATATCCATTCAATTTGTTTACATTATAAAAATGTATTAATGTGTCGGTACATTCTGTATACATATTAAAACGTTATACAGATGTTATGAAGCTTTGTCGAAACACATATCTTAAAACTTTTTAATCGAAAGAAATTAACAAGAAAAATCCAAAAATCGAAGCGAGAATTAAAATTTACACTAGGATGAATTAAATTAATATTCAGTATTGATATACATCACAAACAGGATGTATGACTTTTGTATACATTCTATACAAAATTATTAA